CGGCATGTTTACTGGGACAACGCGCCAAAAACATCACCCGGCGATGGGATTCGAACCCTGTGTCATTTGAGCGCGATGTTAGTGTGCTAACCACTACACCACGCAGCCAGATAGCGAAGTTGGTTTGTTTTGTTGTGTTATGCCCTTTCGGTCTGACAAGACCATTTCAGAGCCGGAAGGATGATAGGATGGAGACATTGGTCTTCTTGGCGAGCACCCTGGGTCCAGTTCGTATAGAGTCCCTGGTCCCATTGCTGTTACGTGACACTTATTGGAAAGGGCGACCCCACAATGGATTCATATAGCCACTCTTACACACCTGCACCAGCGTTTCCCAAAGTGTCCCTTTGATAAGTGGCACTTTGGCAAAGTGACACTTGCCGACTGGCCTTTCTATATGAACTGGGCCCGGCCCTGGTGAGTTGCCGGGGCTGAGCCTGACCAAAGGATAGGCCGAGCAGCCCCAAGCACTCACCACACCCGGCTACGGGCGAGCTCGGCTTACGGGTAATCCCAAATGGGATAAAGTTTCCCGTCCAGTCCGGATCAGGGGGTTGCGGCGTGGAGGAAGATTTGAGTTTCCTGAGGATATTTTGAATGCAGAAGCTCTTTATGTAACATGAAACATGTATTTTATATTATTTTAACGGTCAAAACAGCGGCCGATGTCGGTCCGACGTCGGCCCGACGTCGGCTGGACCTCAGCAATTGATCTCGGTCCGACGTCGGCCCGACGTCGGCTGGACCTCGGCTGGACGTCGGTACATGCGGGCATATCCGACATCCAGCCGACGTCGTGCAGAGGTTGGACCGACGTCGGGCCGACGTCGACATGCCGAAGCCGAGTTGCCGACGTCACCCCGACGTCGGCCGACGTCGGGCCGACGTCGGCATGTTTACTGGGAGCAGGTCACTTGGTGCTTCTTTGTTTGGTGTACTTATCCATGGGCCAGGTCAAATGAGGTCAACTGAGGTCAAATGACGTTTTTGCCATTAACTAGGCACATAATGACGCTAGAGCTTAAAAATGGTATCATTGTGTTCCTGGTGATCAGCCGAATCGAATGATATGCGATATGATGCAATTTGGTTAACTTGAACTTGATTTATTAACCCTCGCATGTGTGCGGCGTTTGCCAGCTTCTAATGTGTAGGGGGGGTCGGTTGGACCCCCCCTTGCCGTTTGGCCCCTGATCGAGCTAGAGCTTCGCGGAAAAAACGAGCGTGTTGCCCGTGACGAGAGGAAGCCGATGATACCCAATTTTAAGGTCCTAGGTCATTGGTTGACCTTCCAGGTCAGGTCAATGACCCAAAGTCGGGAAAATCGGGACCTGTTAGAAAGTCGTAAAGTGTGGCTGTTAAGGAATTTTTCGGGGTGCTCATCACGAATATCGTGTTAGTTTTGATCACAGATGATGTCTTGAAGCATTTAGACCAGGTCGGGTCAGGTCAGGTCAGGTCAACCAGTAGGCGTCGTGACGGGTATTCGTAGTACGTGTCAACCGCCTCTGAAAGCTTCGTAACATGTTACGAAGTCGCCAAAACTACTTCGTAAATGTTCAAATGGTTGCTAAATTCGAATTCAGCTCCAAAAACTAGCCTAGAAACATGTAAAACTCGAAAAAGTGACCCGAGGTCACCCGAGGTCACCAAAGGTCAATGACCTGACCTGACCTTCAGGTGACCTTGACACACACGGGAGTAACATCAAATCACATGTTTGAACGTTTGAAACCACGAAAAGCTTGAAAACACGCGGCTAGTGCGAGCCGACATACGCGAAATCGCGATTCCGGCCAAACATGGTCTCGGAAAAGAGGTCACAGGTCAAAGGTCATTTGGGTCAGGGTCATGAAATTTTCAGGGTAGGTGTAAAATTGATCAATGCGAGGGTACTGAAAGTTTCGTCGCGATCGACCGCTTTTTACGCGAGTTATTCGCGAAAAACCATGGGGGGGGGGTCCATCCGACCCCCCCCCCCTACACATGCGAGGGTTAATTTAATTAAGTTTACTTAAAATTTAAGAAAAACTTTAAGTACACTTAAGCAAGCTGAAAGGTATATCATCCGACGCGCCGTGACGTGCTGAGTTCACTGGTGCTTTTCTTTTTGCTCTATCGTAATTGGATCAAAAGTTATAAGCGAAAACCTGTTGACCTGTTTTTAGCGAAATTTGTACATTTATACCCCCCAAAACCCCCTAAATATTGACCTAGAGCAATTAAATTTGCACAGGGGCGAGAAATCCAGGGGGCCCACCTACCTACCAAATTTTGTGTTTCTAGGTGCCCTAGGAGCCAATCGCGAGGGGGGTCGCATCGACCCCCCTGCCAGGCCGTGTTATGAAAAATGCCCTGCCAGGGCGAGGGTTAAGCAAAAAAAATGGGCTTTTAAGATCCGCCTTGTTGAGAGCTTTCGATTGCCGTTTTCCCCGTCTTTCTACGACCATCGGTTCGGAAGTTATAGGGGGCAGAATCTGCCCCCCCCCCCTCCAGCAGGACGCGTATGACTGAATAGCCCAGCGGGGCGCGGGTTAAAGGGAAACACTCACATCAGTTTTGGTCATATTTAGGTCATTATTTTGCCGATTCGACAAAGCAATGAGCACTTATAACGCGCCCCGTCCTGTAAGAGACGATTAAGGAATGAAGGAAAGAAGCTGGATCAAAACAAATGTCATGTTTGTGTTTCCTGTCCTCACACTCCTCCTCAGAGCTTTCGAAGCGATTCTGAATCCGACACTGTATTTGTTGCTGTTGCTAACGCTAACCTTAGGACGTAGGCTCTAGGCAAGTACCCGACAACCGCGGCGTATCGATTATACCGTATCGATTATACCTACAAGTCGCGTTCCATATCTCCAGAGCCAGGCACCTAGGCACCTAGGCCAACGACTCACTAGCACAAACCCTGCTGCTTAGGCCAACCGTCCAGCCTGGCCTTATCGTATATTACAGCTGCCTCAACGAACCGCACTTACAATCCACTTAGCGTGCCCACTCCAATTGTCCACCCTAACCATCCACACTCCACAGTCCACGTGACCGCCCACCCCAACCGTCCTCATCGTGCACAACTGTCTACAATAGCTGCTCCTCACTGAAAACACTTTGGAAGAACGTTAAGAACGTACAGGGGTATTTAGACCCCTGTGGGGTAAAATGTTATGCCACCGTTTTTCAGAACCCCCATGGCTCTTCACGTAGACGGCTTTGCATTCTCATGAAAAGAATCCACAGGATTCTTCCAAAGACTCTTATGAGGTTTAGGGTTTATAATAAGAGCGTTCTTAGCACCTAGATAAGAACCCCAAAGGGTCTGTGAAGAAGTCCCTGAGGTTTATAGGGAAACCACCCTGTGTTCTGAATATCGGTTGTAGAACCCTTTCAGTTCTATTGCAATACCGCAAAATCCCCGTTCATTCGTCTATTGGACCTATGCATGGCTATCGACCTGCGCCGTCACATCTGCTGCGCAAACACAGTACTTGATACACCTTAAAATGTATTACCTTCCTCTACTCTGAGCAATCAGCCTGCAAGTCTCCAGTCAGGAACAACCAGCCCGCAACCAGCCCATGCGATCAGCCCGCAACCAGCCCGCATTCAGCCTGCGATCAGCCCGCAATCAGCCTGCAGGAACGCTTTCCATTCGGCCGTGTCACTTGCCTTACACATCCAAGCCAAAGAACTCCAGAGCCAAATATGAACACATTTTTAGCTTTAGCAAGTGGATGTTTTCCCAAACACAGTATGTATAGCGCTGTCGCCCATGTCAGCAGCCGGGTGGCGATATCGCATTCTCCCAAATCACATACAGTTTCTCCTTCCACCACCAGCTTCAAGCCAGCGTTTTCGACGATGTCGACGTCTCCGCGCGCCAGGACGCTCTCCTCAGACTCCAGGGCCTCAATCAGAGCGGAGATGGCCTCGTCCCCTGGAATGAAGAGTCGGGCGGATGCGTTATTCAACAGGCAGGAAGTAAAAAAAATTTAGATTGACTTCAGAGACCATGAGCCTACTCCGAAAATAAAATAATGCACTTGACATGTAAAGTGCAGCTAGATAAAATATTGCACTAATCAGCAAGAACATATGTTTATTAAAATCAGCCAAATTTATACCTAAATCAATTGACCCCAAAATGGCAAGCTGATTCAAGCTGATGCCATTGACCCCAATGGCAAGCTATTCCTGATTTATCTTCATTTGAAAGATTTGTCTAAATACCACATGCATAATTTAAGCTATGGGGCATTTATACAACATATAAATACTTACTGCATTGAATGGTCTTGCATATGAATTGTCTTCATCCAATGCATTCATCCATGCATTTGAAGAGCGTTGTGATATTGCTTATTATTGTCAATCACAAGTAATATAGATAATACACAACACTTGACAAGCCAAAAATTAACCTTACTTCAGTTCTTCAATATTCGATTACTTGCCATTCACCCAATCTTGCACCAGCCGCTCGTCACTGCACAAAGCGTGATCCAACGCGATCGAAAAATGGCGATCGCTTCCGGTGGACGCTAGAACGTGGTACCGCGGGCGTGGTCTTGATGAAAGCCATTACACTGATTAAACCACAACCCCTTCTTCTTAAACCCGATGCTAGTTCGTGCAAAACCTTCAAAGGGTTTATCTTTCGCGCGCTTGGTGTGACGTAATATCACGTGACTAGGGAGAACGACTGAAGAACCGGTGTTGGTCGAGTTGAAGCCCCCTGGGGCCGCTAAGACTGCACGCGAAGAAGCAGCACGTGTCTTCGGTCTATGTGAAACACTGTGTGTGTTCTTCATGAACCAGACGTTCTGCTTTGCCTCTAAGCCAGTTTACCCTAATACCCAAAAAACCTATGTGTGGAATATTTTAAGATGCTTTTGCATAACGTTCTTTCAACTTGTTTTCAGTGCTCTACAGCAGCTGCGCTCTGGCCGTCCACGCCAGCTGTCCACACTACGCCACGTCCACAGCACACCGAACGTCCGTTGTCCACATCCATTGTCCACCTCAGCCTTCTGTTACGGACCGCAGGCCCACAGGCTCGTTTACTCCTGGCTGTCGTTCAGGTAGTAACTCCAGTAGGCAATGTTGAATATGAAGAAGGCCACTGGCAAGAAGGCACGAGAACCCTTCTCCAGCAGCGCTGCCTTGTCCTTCCCGGTCCACCTCCCCTCCAGGGTCCAGGCCGCCTGTGAAGAAAAGGTGGGCAGTTGGGTGTGTAATGTGTATAAAATATGCCGCGAAAGACCACGTCTCAAGAGCGTCACAACCGTCCTTTCTCAGTAATTATACCTAACACAAAACATAATCTAACCTGACTCAAACTTACTACAACCTACCAATCTACCAACCTACAACCTACAACCTATAACCTACAAATTCTTCTGCGGCATATATACCGTGGTGGTAAATATGGTTTGTGGCATATATGAATGCCCCCCCCCCCCCCCCCGCGGGCAATGGATTAGCTTTTACCGGCATTGTAGTTGGTGTGCCAGCCAACTGTGCTGTAAAGCCAGTTATGTTGAAAGTTGAAACTTTCAGTTTTTCCTTGACCTGACATTGACCTGACCTGTGACCTACGTAGGCAAACAATTGTGTGCTTCATAAATCCACCTTGTTGAAAGCTTACGATTGTCGTTTTCCCAGTCTTTAACCCGTGACCTGGTGGGGGGGGCTATTTTTTGCCCCCCCCCCCCTCCAGACTTTTCGATATATCTCCAGAACCGCTGGGCCGATCGTCACCAAACTTTCAGTACCCTCCCGGACATCAATTTTACATATGGTGACCAAAAATTTTTTCAAAGGCTATGATAGATTGACCGGAAATGACGTCAGAGTGACGTCATGTTCTGCCGTTTTCGACCCAAAAAAGGGTTTCGCGGGAAGAGCTGTCAGGCCTATAGCTTTTCAAATACAGAAAATGATAAGGACATAAAAGCTGTAGAATTGACAGGGCTACAAAACTGCTATCTCGGATTTTTGAAATTTTTGGATTTTGACCCCCAAAAATCAAAAAATATTTTTTTGGATATAATGATCGAAAAATCCAAAAAGTTTTTTGAATTTCGCAAAAACCGGAATACATGTGATAGTCCTTACCGCCTTCCATCCACATACCAAATTTGAGATTGATAACTCTTTTTTGGCGAAGTTATAGCGAAAAAACTGTTCGAAATTGATGACGTCAAATTTTCAAACTCAATTTTTATCAATTCTAGACCCCGTAGCGCAAAACAAAGACCACCATTAGACTCCCCGTGACGAGCTGCATCGAATCAATACCCATTTTATGCAAAACTATCAATTTTAAAATTTGACCTTTTTTGGCCTGACCTTGACCTGACCTTGACCTGAACTTAACCAGAAAGTGACCTAAGCCGTACCTGATAGTCTTATAACCAACACCATTGAGTTGGAAATGAAAAATTGGCCATAAAACATGCATCACACAACCTTAGTAAAGTTGGGCTCATGTGACCTGACCTGTGACCCTCGGTGACCTGACCTGTGACCTGACCTGGTATTGTCAGTGACCTCTAATAGCAACATATCTACTAGGCAACTGACGCCCTATCGCTGATTCTCGACAAAATGCGTTTTCCTCGGTGTTATAGCGCATTCCCTAGAAGACCCGTGAACGGTGAAACATTTCATCTTTGACCTGACCTGTGACGTCATCGGTGACCCCGAGGTCAATGAAATTTGGTTTCCCCCGACAAATTTGACTGGCCTTTCGAACGCCGTTTGAATTTTGCGGATCCGTCCAGTAGTTTCGGAGATACGAGGGGGGCAAAAAATAGCCCCCCCCCCCCCACCAGCTCGCGTTATAAACAGACCCCACCAGGGCGCGGGTTAAATGACCATCCCTTCGGAAGTTAGACAAGGGGCAGAATCCCCCCCCCCCCCCCCGTGGAGCGCTTATGGCTGAATAGCCCAGCTGGGAGCGGGCTAAATACCTAATGTTTTGGCCCAGAACGAACACTAATCGTGTTATAGAATGAGCCAGATTGTGTTGAAAGCTGGCCATCAAACTCAAAGTAAACGAAACATGTGTGCACATTACACAAATGATATCCGTATTCGCTTTTATTTGGATATGGTTTGGTCATCTACAATGTAAGCATTCATGAGACACTAAAAGCTAATGGCCCTCAGCAGCGAAGCGCTAAGGGCCATCATAGAATATGCTGATTGCTGATGACATTTGCTAATCGTTCTGCTAATAACTAAGCCCACAGTCGTCAACGGCTGGCCAGCGGCCGTCACAGCAGTGGAGCATTTTGGTGGTCTGGCTGGACCATTCTTCGGCATGGTAACTCCAGACCTTGATTATGCCGAGCCGGCCGTATAACATTGTTAATGCCAACCCTTGGCTCCACCGCCAAGGTATAGACGGCTCCAACGTTCCACCGCCACTTCCCACAATCACGCATGATTATTTCATGAGCTTTTGTGAGGTTCAACCAGCGTTTTAACATGACTTGCCTCCGCGATCTATTACGTTAAATGTTCTGCGATGTTCATGGTGGTGTTTCGAGGGAAACACATTCCTCATCGTTGCAAACGATGACCTGTGACATTGGTACAAAATGCCAGCGTTCGTGACAGATGCGTGTCACAGTTTTGAAGGAACGTATCATGTGTAAAATGAACCATGGGTGCAAGAGTCTCCGATTAAATTTAACAAAAAAAAAAGTTAAGCTTTTTCAAAAGTGTTACAGACACTGAGACTTGGCGTTCTACACTACAAACCAGGGACGTAGCAAGGGGGAGGGGGAGGGGGCCGTGCCCCCCCCCCCCCCAAGATCCCCCCTGAAGGGGAGAAATAAAATGAAATTCAACAAAAATAAAATAGATAAAAAGAACTGCACCAAACCCCCAAAAATAGTGGGCCAAATCCGAAAAGTTTTCCTATTTGGAGGGGGTGCAACACTAGGTCGCGACCTTTGGCCCCTCCCTGAGCAAAATCCTGGCTACGTGCCTGCTACAAACCTTTCCATTTTTCTCCGGCACCACCTGCGGACTGGAACTGTCAGTGTATGATAACCTGTAAACGAGACAAAACATTCGGTGTGAGGGGCAGAGAAAAACTACGGCACTACACTACCGTGTAATTCATTTCTGAAATCCATTCTGCTATATTATTGACATAATCGTACCTACCATAAGTCATAGTTATTAGTTCTAGAGTCATTGAACGTGCCTTAGCTGACTTCTCTGAGGCGCTGTGTAGGCGGCCGACGGTGACATAGCGCCGAATGATAAATTATCGAATGCTTTCCTACACACTGCCAAACGCTAATGCAATCAACAATAGCCTCTAATTGCTCGGCTTATTCTTGTCAACGATTCAGTTCATCCACGGCACAATGCTCACACACTGTTAAAAAAGATTAGCAGTTTAGTGCTAAATCGTGCGCTATTCATTTGCTAATCAGGTTGTATTTTGCACCTTCATACTTTTTACGAACTTTTTCCTAGTTTTCTATGGCATTCCTTTCATTTTAGCAGGCTCAATTGGTAGCTTCCTACACTGTAAAAAAAAGTTAAGTAGTTTACCTGCTATTCTCGCGCCAAATTTCAGCACTTTATAGCTGCTATTTTCGGCTGCTAACAGCGCTGTAAATCGGTTCCAGCTAAAATTTTAGTAGCCTTAAGCTGCTAAATTACCTGCTAATCGTGGTGCTAATTAACGTGTTGCGTTTATGCACCCTAAAATAGCAGCTATGAGCTGCTGAAATTTGGCGCGAGAATAGCAGGTAAACTGCTTAACTTTTTTACAGTGTACTTGTTCTGCTGGACCTGCTATTTAAGCTGCTAAAAGACATGTTTTGCAAAGGTGCTAAATCATTGGCGGGAAAGGTTAGCATCATAGGACTGATACCAAACGGCGAGTACATAAAAGTCTGCTAAACGACTGCTAACTTTTTGTGTTTGTAAATTTGTAGCAGTTTTAGCCTGCTAGACCGATTGCGCACTTCCGCGCGGCGGCGCCATTTTATTATTGAAGTGTTAGACGGTGCTGCAGTGCATCCAGGTGCGTCGCGACATTCCGACCGGACTGTGCAGTGCATGTGTGTCGAGTGGACGTGGTGTGGGATCACCGTGAGATGAGTGTGTTCCTTATGTTGAAATTTGTTAGTGTCGTCTGAAGAAATTGAATAGCATTTTCCTGGGCTGGCGTGTGGTTACCGAGTATGGGTAACGGCCGGCGTGGCCGCGTGTGCTCGCTGGTGAGAATACGTCATGCCTTCGGGCTGTGCAGTGGGCACGGCAGCTGCCGACCGGCGCGGATACGTTTATGCGTGTTGACTGTTGCTGCTCTGGTCTTACGCGCGATTATCGAGTGTGCAGCCAGCATGTGCTCGCTGGTTGGGACCAGCTGCCACCATACTCTGCACGGCAGCCGTCCGACCGGCACCGATTTTCTGTGGTTTGTGGCACACCGCTGCTATGTTACGCTCATGGGGTGTGGTTTTGAAGTCCTAAAAGTGCGTGCTTTGAGTTGCGTGCGTTAATTAAGTTGCGTGCGTGCCTAATAGGGTAGGTATGCAGGCGTTCGGCATTGTCAGCGGCCATTTATTTCGCATTGCGTTAATTTTACGTATGGATATAACTTGTAATTGAGTTTATGAGGTGCAAAATTTAGCAGTTTAAAATTGTTAATATGATGCTAAGTGGTGACTTCTTTCGTTTTTAGCAGTCATTTAGCACAAAATAACGAACTTAAAACGGCTGAAATTTGGCGCCGAGGGTAGGGTTAGTAAATGCAACACGTTAATTAGCACCACGAATAGCAGGTAATTTAGCAGCTCAAGGCTACTAAAATTTTAGCAGGAACCGATTAACAGGGCTGATAGCAGCCGAAAATAGCAGTTAAAAAGTGCTGAAATTTGGCGCGAGAATAGCAGGTGAAACTGCTAACCTTTTTTACAGTGCAGGACCATGGAATGCTGCGATCGATATAGTCAATAGATAAAGGCCACGGACTACTGAGCAATAACACTAAATTTGCTATTTCGCTGAAAGGTATCATGCGTTCGAATTGAAAAATTAAAGGTGTAGCTAGTCCTCACCTTAGGACAACGATGTACTCGACGATAGTGAAGAGCACGAAGACGATGCAGGTCAGGTTCCAGATGTCCAGAGCTTTTACGTAGCTCACCTCTGGCATGCTCTGGCTGCGGCAAACCATGGGTAGGATGTCACTTCACTACCATGATGCATTGTGGCCGTTTTCACGACGGGACGTTCGCGGTGGAACCTATTTGATACCTGGAAAGTACCAACCTTTTAATGCCTTATAATCCTTACAACTGATTTCTTTTGCCTTCAAAATATGTTAAAAAGTTGTAATCCAGGCAATTTTTGACATCAAATTGCTTATTTCTTTATCAACAAAGCAATTTTCGGTTCTAGTAGCCCACCTTTCGACTATGAGGGATCAAATCAGCCTGGCAACTAGATACCCGGCTCCTGTTTCACCGGCCCGACACTGCGCGCGCCCTGGTGGCGCCTGGGCGCAACAAAATCGCCGCCGCCTCAGCAGTGACCTTGACCTCCGCCGTCTGCCGCGGCTCCAAAGCCAAGCCAGCGTGGAATTGGGAGCGCTCGGTCACCTGCAGCTGGCAGCTCAGTATGTTTTCTAATCATTGTACCTACTAGCAGTATATCGATTTGAAAATGTCACAAATGTGCTTACGCATTAGGTCTTCGTGAGTAGTAAACCTTTAGATTAAATAAATTAATGTAATGTTTAATAGATAAACAGCAAAGTAACTGACCGCTCATTCGAAAGCTGGGAAACCTACTATAAATAACTACTAAAATTCCTGAGGAACCAAAGGACCAAACAGGGCATCAAATAGATGCCTGCTATTCCGTCGTGAAAACGGCCTGTATGATCATGTTAGCATCGCCGTGTGATAGCACGGTGGTGCCATTGTGCTAACACGGATACTCCCGTTATTTCATCATGCATCATGTGATGCCGCCATGATCCCGGCATATGGTATCACCATGTGATCCCGGCGATGAGTATACTTACACGTTGGCGTTGAAGAGGCCCGTTAGTGTCAGCAGAGTGGTGATCACCAGCACCATTCTGCCCGGCACCAGTTCTGGAGGGACCTGAGGTCAAACAGCTAGTGTCAGTGGGGTGGTGATCACCAACACCATTCTGCCTGGCACCAGTTCTGGAGGGACCTGGGGTCAAACGGTTAGTGTCAGTACGGTGATGTGTCTGATCACCAACACCATTCTGCCCGGCACCAGTTCTGGAGGGTCCTGGGGTCAAACAGTTAGTGTCAGTGGGGTGGTGATCAATATCACCATTCTGCCCTGCACCAGTTCTGGGAGGATCTGAGGTCAAACGGAACAGTTGGGGTCAGCGCAAACAGAGTGCTTCCAATCGCTCTGTGAGTTATAAATACTTTGTGATGCGGTCGGTTGAATATTCCTTTCCTGTTACTTTTTCTATTGATTACTGAAAGCTTGTGCTCGATATATAAATATACTTTGAGAAAGGATTGCGCTGTCCGATTGAAAAATAAGCCTGAGTGGTCCTGAAAAGGGCATTTCGAACTTATTCCAGCACGGATCAGTAAGAGTACAAACATATGCGATGCAGAATTTATGCAATTTGCAAGCTTTTACGATGCAAGCTGATAGGTATGCTTCAATGTTTAAACGAACGAAACGTTTATATGCAGCATCACACTACAGCCGACTACCGACATTCAAGGGCCAAAGAATTACAGCCTTTTGAATAGTCTATTAGAAGTTCATAACACATAACACTTGAGCTCACCCAAAGCGACAGCCAGCTGACGAAGATGAGCATAAAGCTGGGCACGAATACGGACAGGACAGAGTTCCGCACTTTGCGCGTCAGCAGCACCTCGAAGCTGACCTCACTCAGGGCCCCTGAGGGCACAGAGCGCACCGATTACACATCATGCTTTCACAATTGATTGTGAGGGAAACTGCGGGAGCGAAGTTATCCCAGTGCGTTGTTATTAGTGGTGTGGAGACGTTCATTTTTCAGCACCGTTAATTCAATTTACTGCGGGGATTAAAACTTACAGTGTCTTCTAAAATTCAGGAGAATAGGTCAGAAGATTGCTAGACAATAACCGAGAGCTCCGAAACATAACCAGAATAAATAGGCTTAAAGAAAGTGGCATATTTCCTTCAACCCACGAGTTACTGGAAGAGGTCGGCGCTAAACGCCCCCACCTTTTCGCCGCAGTATAGCTATATAAGACTAGACGTCCAGTACGAGGCTCCATACTCCTAGTACAGTCTGTCTTAAAAGTACCGCGCAAAGTGGCGGTGGATCCATCGAGCCTGACTGAGGAGGGGCCTGCTAAATTTGGGTCACCGAAGCAATGGACATCCTCGTCCATTCCGCAGCTCAATTGGTTCGGTGACTTTCAAATTAAAGCAGACCTTTCTCGGTCAGGCTTTATGGATCCACCGCGACTTTGCGCGGTACTTTTAACCCACGAGCCGCTGGGGGGGGCATAAAGTTGCCCCCCCCTTTACGTTTTGTGAAATATCTCCGAAACCTGATGAGCTACGAACGTGAAACTTGGCATAGCTTCAAATGAATACCTAGGCAATGTTTGAGGAAAGTTTGGTGGTTGTAGCACCTAAGATGACGTCACAGTGACGTCATAAAGTTTTGTCGTTTTCCGATATGGACCGTTTCTGATGACGCTGAGCATGAAACTCGACTGTAAATGAACTAGACAGCACCTGCTGTCATCCTAAAACATCTTACTACACTTCCATCTAGTTTCTGACCAATAATTGGCCCTTTATATTCGGTCCCATATATGTGATGTATCGTGAGGAATATGAGAGTCGCAAATCTATAATTTCACTTATGACGTCACTGTGACGTCATTTCAAATGAGATCGACACCAAATTTGGACACAACCTCGGCTAGGTATTCAGGAAGATGTGTGCAAAGTTTCGCTTCTCTATCTCTTCGCGTTGCGACGATATCGTCGCAGAAGTAAAGGGGGGGCAACTTTATGCCCCCCCCCCCAGCGGCCGGCGGGTGGCGCGGAGGCCCAGCGGCCGCCGGGTTAAGACAGACTGTACATGTTACTGAAAGCCGAATTTCAAGTGTTTGACCTGACCTTGACCCGACCCGTAACCTCGACGTTCAACTTTCAAGCACTCATTCGAATCGTCTCGTTGCGTTCTTTCGTTTGCCGCCTAGTGCGTTGCGCTTCGCCTGTATTTGGTTCTCGAGATATCGGGTAGGGACATTTACCGCTCCCTTCCCCCTCCCCGAAGCAACTGGCGGGCGGCGAGATACCCCTGAAGCTGTCGGGTATTATTTGCGTATTTTACATTACACCTTAGCGGAGCGGGTGGCTCACCGGTGAGGGTATAGTCGACCTCTGGCTCGGCAATGCGTACATCATCGACATTGAAACTGCGCGGCCGGGTGTCGAAATACAGCTCCACACCAGAGTGGTGCCAGGAAACCAGCATCACGTCATCAGTGTACATGTCTGAGGCACACACAGGCGAACACACAGTGGGCGAGGTGGTTTTCCTGGGTGTAACAGAACATCGGGCAAAGTATACAATCACTTGTCACTAGACCACAATAATAGACAAGTTATACCAGTATAACGCCTTTTGGGGCGACTAACGGAGCGAGCGAGAGAGTGGGCCTTGCACGTGCGAAATTGCAAGGGGGTACCCCCAATTGACTTGTGCACGGCACCCTACTGACCGGTCTCTAGCGATGTGCCAAATTTGGGCACAATCGGCCCAGCCGTTCTCAAGATCTGGAAACGGCACCCTGCACGTGCGCACGTGCAAAATGGGTCCCAACTGACTTGTGCACGGCACCCTACTAACCGGTCCCTAACTGTGTACCAAATTTGAGCGCAATCGTTCGAGCCGTTCTCGAGATCTGGAAACGACCCCTGCACGTGCGCACGTGCAGCAGCACCCCAACTCTGGCACATGGATATGCAGTGCCTAGTGGGTGCCTACCTACATGCCAACTTTCAGCGCAATCGGCCAAGTAGTTACCGAGATATTGCAACAATTACAAAACTGACACCTCTTCGTTTTGCACGTGGCACGTGCATAAGGGATCACCCACATGCATCGGGAATAGTCCAATACTTGGTAGAAGGAATGAAGCTACCCTACAAAAATTACCGCATGTAAATCGGTCAAGTGGTTGCTGAGATATAAGCCTCGCAAAAGCGTCCGCACGGCCGGCCGGCCGGCCGGCCGCTCATACTCAGAAATTTCCGTTAATCTAAGGAAAGACTACGCTCGCTTCGCTCGCTCCGTAATTATTTTACCTTAAATGACATTGAAAATAGTTACCTTAACAACAACAAGAATATCACAAATGATTTGTTTTAGAAATACCTCAATACAAAATTATACTTTTTTAATGCATTTCTTGTTTTAGATTAAGTTTCGTTCACGGGCCATGATCACATCAATGCCAAAATATAAGATGATATATGCACCAGTATAACGCCTTTTGGGGCGACTGACGGAGCGAGCGAGAGGGTGGGCCTTGCACGTGCGAAATTTCGAGGGGGTACCTCCAACTGACGCACGGCACCTTACTAATCGGTCTCTAGCGATGTGCCAAATTTGAGCACAATCGGCCCAGCCGTTCTCGAGATCTGGAAGCGGCACCCTGCACGTGCGCACGTGCAAAATTGAAAATGAGTCCCAACTGACTTGTGCACGGCACCCTACTAACTGGTCCCTAACCGTGTACCAAATTTGAACGCCATCGGTCCAGCCGTTCTCGAGATCTGGAAACGACCCCTGCACGTGCGCACGTGCAGTAGCACCCCAATTCTGGCACATGGGTATGCAGTGCCTAGTGAGTGCCTATACCTACATGCCAACTTTCAGCGCAATCGTCCAAGTACTTACCGAGATACATAAGGGGTCACCCACATGCATCGGGAATAGTCCAATACTTGGTAGAAGGAATGAAGCTACCCTACAAAAATTACCGCGTGTAACAAGTGGTTGCTGAGATATAAACCTCGCAAAAGCGTCCGCACGGCCGGCCGGCCGGCCGCTCATACTAAGAAATTTCCGTTAATCTAAGGAAAGACTCCGCTCGCTTCGCTCGCTCCGTAATGAGTACATATGTACATGAATGTAAAAAGTATGATTTTGTAAGCTGGTCATTCAAAAACAATCAATTGATTTAACTAAATGCCTTACATTCAGCAATCACTTAACAAGTTAAGAGAATAGATAATTAAGTATTGAACGAGGAATATGATAACGGATGTGCCACAGACACTAATCGAGGACTACTTACATGTTTGCAATCTCAGCTTGCATCTCTGTTTATCCATTGGGTATCTTTCGTATGTAAAGTAGCACTGGCTTCTGACGACATAAAGCCCCGACTGGAACGACAAAACTCTGATGCTTGTTTTATGAACAGGTGCTAGAACACTGTATGCAAACATTGCGCGACATTAGTCGATTCAATAATTAGCAAAAGTAGGTACCGTTGCAGTAACAACTCGCTGTTTGACAGTGTTTAGAATGACGTTCGTCCAAAAGAGCCTTTCATAGTTTTCCCCTTGACTTATAATGGGGAGGTCTCAAAATTGATCTCACCCTAGGTCACCGATGTTAAAATTCCGAGATAAACATTTTGTGCATATAACCGTTGCTTTTATCAATCGCTGAAGTTTCAAAGCGATTGGTCGTTCAGTGTAGGTATGGCAGACATGGAAAATTGTTGTGGGGGTGGAAGTCACTTGACGTGACCTGGCAGTGGCGACCTGACCTTGAGTGACCTTAGTCTGAAATTTTCGCATGTGCAAAAAATGGCGTGGTGTGCTTGCAAAAAAACCGCAGGGGGTGCTCAAACACCATCCCCCCAGCAGGTCGCGGGTTAAAAGCTAAAATAGAAATAAAAATGCAATGAAAGAAGAAAGTGAACACTTCTTAACAAAATTGCTAAATAAATGCAATTTCATGCTTCAAACATTGCAGTGCTTTCCTATGAGTTTCTTAGGCGTGCAGCATGCTATAGATGAGCACCGATGGTGATGTAACGCACGTGAATGATGGTCTTGTTCCGGAATAAGGTAACACCAGCAGCTTCTATCAGCAAGTACGGCTGCTTGATGCTCCGAACATTCACGAAAAACAGATCCGGGACCCATATCTTGTCCACTACTGACGTGTGTAGCTGCATAAAACTGGCATTACCTATAAAAATGTAATGATATATAGCGATGAGCATTACCCTAAATGCATAAAAAACTATTTAATAATCACGTTAATCACGTTTAGATTTTGCATTTGCATCACAAGATAAGACAAACTTTACAGTGACACGACTTGCGAATATTCAACTTGGCTCTCGTGAAATATTGAACGTCATTGCTGGAGTCCTGAGCAGTGAGCACTATCTAGTGGCAATGGCGGGCTCCTCCGAACCCAGTACATGTAGGAAGTATGCACATTGTATTCAGCATGTGCGACTGATAGGCTTACCGGGCAAGGTGACGCGGGGATCCTCCCATATGGTGCGGATGTAGCAGCCCAGCTGTAAAACCTGTGGATAATGGTGACACTATGTGAAGACAGGGCACATTTATAGAGATGGAAATGTGACTTGTGAGGGGTTTTCTGATTTATGCTATGTTGGCTTCATGTTTTTGTATCAATGTCAGGTGCATACTACATACCTTCCCTCGGTATCTACACTGAAAACAGTTTAACCCAGGGCCGACGAGTAAACTGGTGTTTCGCGGGTACCCCTATCCGCAACCATTTGTAACCACCCTCCCAGGAGTGCAGTAAGGTCCCATTGCAGTGTAGCCGTATCTGCCTCAGCGGTTATATCCGCTCAGAGCAGGTATGACTAAAAGGGGTTATCCTCCACGCCTACCCTTCGCCGACCAAGTCACGAGGGCCAAAAAAACTCCCACGCTTGACCATATTTGAGGGAAATTATCTACATTATGACAATCTCACACCTAGAAAACATCGGTGAGAACGTTTCACATCGGTGGGAACGGTCAAATCGAATTCCCATAGAAAATTCGATATGACCCAGTCACCGGTAGTCGTACAGACCGCCCGAGATCAAGAAGATGTCTCGCGACTGCTTTCGTGACCTGTATAAGAATCAAAATGGTTTCACTTGGTAGTTTCGGAAGAAAAGGCGTTGCCAATCGTCCCGAGATGAATATTGTTGTATTATGGTCCAACCCCCGCACGGCTGCTGGCCGCGCCTGCGCGCGCCCCTGCCGCCGCCACCGCTGGCCGCCCCGGCTCCGTGCCTGTGAGCGCCTCTGCCGCCGCCAGCTGACTGTGCGCGCCGAGCGGCAGATCTGGCGCGAGTGACTAGGGGCGGCGCTCGCCATACTTGTTTATCTTTTGGACACTCTTTTCGGCGTGAACGTATCGCAGTAAATAAATCGCGTTTTTCATTGATTGTGTGCTGTTTCACTCGTAACGAACCAAAACATAACATGGCGCGGTCGGTTTTGTAATTACGTGACTGAGCAGCGCAGTAAATAAATCGCGTTTTTCATTGATTGTGTGCTGTTTCACTCGTAACGAACCAAAACATAACAAATATTGCAGAGGTTTTAAAGATGCACCCTAACAATTGTACTTTCGCCCCCTCTTGAAACCGCCAAACAATGTGCCAATATATCATTGGTGCAAAAAAAGTTAAAAAAAAAATTGTTGTAATTCAAAACTGTATGAGACAACGCCATCTAGCTGTGCCGGTAGATCCAACTCCTGCAGGGCAGGTTATGTAAAGGCTCGCCATCCACGGATACACGTTTACGATATCTCGAGTAGTTCCAACTCTTTCAGTTAGGGCTATGCCAATGACTCGACACCCGCGGGGACAATATCCAGTGCTGGGTAGCTACCTTACTGCAGACTGTGGGTACGGTGCATATTTACGAGCAATAAGGCAGACAAGTCTGCTTACCCTCTAGCTAGAATCTGGACATGGCGAGTTAATACACATATACCACCCGCAGAGCAACGCTTAATTCGCCAGCTTCGGGTAAAATTGTTTTCAGTGTAGTAGCCGTTTTCTCGACGGCTATTTGGTACACATTTGGTTCACATTTGGTGCAGATTTGGTCACATTAGGCTCACTGTAGCCGTTTTCACGACGGGCTATACGGCGAGTGCACCTAATTTGACCAAATCTGCACCTAATCTGCACCAGATGTGCACCTAATGTGTACCAGATGGCCGTCGTGAAAACGGCTTGTGTTTCTTAGAAGTTAGCAACTTAGGTTGCAAAACTATTCATTATAGGTACCTATATCTGCTTTTTCTAATTATCACTATGCAACAAAAAATGAAAATTTTCTGTTCCTGGAAAGCGACCGAATTTTTCTTATTCATTGGGTCCTATTATAACCGAAATGGGCATTAGTTTTTATCTGAAAATGCTTTTCCGGTTTTCAGAGACGATTTTCGATTTTTGGCCCCGAAATTCGGTTTTTGGCACACCGTGTCCGATGTAATTGAGTAATCGACTCGCGGTAACTTTCATCGCCTTTCCTATGCCACAAGCTTTCGAATGATATCTGGTTTTGCATATTTGCGTGCAAAAATAACGTCATAAATCTATGTTAAAGTAAGAAAATGTTGAAATTTTGTAAAAATTTGACATTTTTTTTCTATTTCATTTCAAAATAGAGGAAAAACTAAAGGCCCCATCCAAATTCTGAGCCAAGTTCCTTGAAGAGCATTCAATTTCCGTTCGGAAGGTACCTTTTTAGTGCATTTTATCGGATTCCTGTGGCGTCCAGATTGAGTTAACCTAAACACATATCCTAAGTCATATCACATAGCATTAACCTGATAACGTATGTTAACGCCATAGGATCAACGAGGGGTCAACTGAGGTCATTTTGTTGACCCCTTGTGACCTCGGGTCACACGCAGGAACTTACTTTTGAGCAGTCCTGTCGCTCAGAATCTTGATCTGTTGGGGGCCCGTTTTTCAAGTGACTCAATCTGGACGCCACAGTAAACCGATAAAATGCACTAAAATAGTACCTTCCGAACGGAAATTGAATGCTCTTCAAGGAACTGGGCTCAGAATTTGGATAGGGCCTTTAGTTTTTTTCTCTATTTTGAAATGAAATCGAAAAAAATGTCAAATTTTTACAAAATTTCAATATTTTCTTACTTTAACATAGATTTATGACGTTATTTTTACACGCAAATATGCAAAACCGGATATCATTCGAAAGCTTGTGGCATAGGAAGGGCGATGAAAGTTACCGCGAGTCGATTACTCAATTACACCGGACACAGTGGGCCAAAAACCGAATTTCGGGGCCAAAAATCGAAAATCGTCTCTGAAAACCGGAAAAGCATTTTCAGATCAAAACAAATGCCCATTTCGGTTATAATGGGACCCAATGAGTCCAAAAAAAAAATCGGTCGTTACTCAGGAACAAAATGACTGTTGCATAGTGTTATCTTACATTATTTTCTATTAAAACACTGACATAATTTCATGATATGACGATATTTGCTGTAAAAGAGATTTGGTCCAGGTTGGTGCCTACGCCCGATAACCCGTCGTGAAAATGGCTAGTTCACTCGGAAGCAGATTGATGTTCCACTTCTCTTTATCCACAGGGTTCCCATAGCTCAGCATTGGCAGCAGCCGCCTGGTACGGGTAGACTGTGCCGCTTCACTTACTTGTCGAGCGGCACAGCTTACCCACACCGTATGACACTGCAGTCTGGGTCGGTGGCTGGAAGGCGATGTTCGCCGCCTGTGACGTCAGCACAGCGGCAGTGGCGGTTCCTGGGGGGGGGGTCCACGGGGTCATGACTCCCCCCCAGGGCTGAGAGGGTCATTTGACCCCCCCCCCCTCCCCAAAAGCCGAAGACTCAAATGCGTTATAGAGTAGACGCCGTCTTGCATGCTCAAAATCACCTCTCAAACACTTCTGAGCTAATACCTTTGTTTTTCTGGATCGTGCTGCGTGAAAAGGCGTATTGAAAGCCAGAATCTTACTCGCTTTTGTCTCAACCGTTCGAGCACCAGGGGACGATCCAGGAAAATTCCAAGGGGATGGTCATGAATTTAATTCGCATGGTGCCCCTATCACTGAAAACAAATTGGTCGGGCTGTGGCGCTTTATCCTTTAATTAAGTGTAAGGTAGGGGAAGTTGGGGCAATGCCGGAGTTGGGGCAAAGCCGAAATTCGAGATATTTCGAAAACCGTAAGACATGGATGTCACCTGTCAGTGATGCTCTGAAGCTTAAGTGACTACAATTATCGCATGTTTGTTACGAGTCGTCATTCGGAATACTTCGACTGTGAGGGCGCCAAGAGCGTTTTCAAGGTACGTTTCCCTTGTACTACATGCGCCTTTGAAGCTGCATTTTTTACTCATTATGCTACCGTTTGTCTGGCCAATTCGGTCAAGTAATCTTTAGCATGTCTTTGCATAAGTGTGCTGCCTATTTGAAATTTATACAGCACGTTGAAAAGTTATGGGCCTGCAAATGAAAGTATGGCTGGCTGGGGTAATGCCGAAAACGTGCGATTACGCACGTGTTAAAAGCACGCTACGTGAACTTTACTGCTGTAGAATAGCAACGCGTATTTTTAGTCACACAAATTACACTTTCGACCGACACAACGGCCTGTTACCTATAAGGAATGATTTACCTGGCATTTTCTTATTATATCACACAATTATAACTTCCAGTGTGCACCGCGTCCTCAAGCTCTTGAAACGTGCACTCAAAACTTTTTTACTACCTCCTGCAGGGTTCATTTTCATCAAACCTGCAAGATAAGAGTATATTGAAAGGGTAACTCGCTGCTACCATTATGTGCATAGTAACGGTACGTGGTTAATATGAACTTATTCGCCAGTGAAGAGTATTATTACCATGTAAATATCAATATTACTCTCGCGATCCAGAACATCACGAAAACTCTTTCCTTCTGGGCATCGTGACCATGGGCGCCGCCACCGGGGGGGACGGGGGGGGGGGACGCGTCCCCCCCACTCTCAGAATGGAAGGGGGACGTCCCCCCCAAACTCGTTACGGAGCGAGCGAAGCGAGCGTAGTCTTTCGGGAAATTTCTGAGTACGAGCGGCCGGCCGGCCGTGGTCACGCTTTTGCGAGACTCACATATGTCTCAGGAACCACTTGACTGATTTACATGCGGTAATTTTTGTAGGGTAGCTTCATTCCTTCTAACAAGTATTGAACTATTCTCGATGCATGTGGGTGACCCATTATGCACCCGCCACGTGAAAAACGAAGAGGTGTCAGTTTTGTAACAATTGCAATAGGTATCTCGGTAACATACTGGGCCGATTGCGCTGAAAGTTGGCATGTAGGTAGGTAGGCACCCACCAGGCAATGCATATCCATGACCACGTGCCACAGTTGGGGTGCTGCTGCACGTGTGCACGTGCAGGGATCGATTCCAGATCTCGAGAACGGCTGAACCGATTGTGCTGAATGTTGACACATGGTTACTGGTTAGGGACCGGTTATTAGGGTGCCGTGCAAAAGTCAGTTGGGACCCA